ATGAAGAGAGATTAAAAAGATTTGGATGTTTCATCTTGGAAAAGAGGAGACGAAGCGGGCATATGATAGAGGTCTATAAAATCATGACCGGTGTGGAGAAAGTGAATAAGGAAAAGTTATTTACTTGTTCCCATAATATAAGAACTAAGGGTCACCAAATGAAATTGATAGGTAGCAGGTTTAAAACAAAAGGAAGTTTTTCTTCATGCAGTGCACAATCAACCTGTGGAACTCCTTGCCAGAGGATGTTGTGAAGACTAGGAGTTGAATTGGGTTAAAAAAGGGGCTACATAAATTCATGGAGTTTAGGTCCATCAGTGGCTATTAGTCAGGATGGGTAGGAATGGTGTCCCTCGCCTCTGTCTGGAAATGGAGGACTGGAGAGGGATTGCTTGATCCCTTGATTACCTGTTTCGTTCACTCTCTCTGGGGCTTCTGGCATTGGCCATTGTTGGAACACAGGACACTGGGCTAGATGGACCTTTGGTCTGACCCTGTATGGCCATTGTTATGTTCTTAAACCCATGATGATTCCTAGATGTCAAGGCCGTGTATATAACACACAGTCCACCTGTAAGACACCACTTAAAAAGACCCTGTCAGCATTGATAAGTCCAATGTTGGACTGATATTCTTGATTTTTTTTTTGTTTCTTTTATGTGTAAATCCATATCAGGTTTTTTTTTTTTTTTTTTTTAAAGCACTGAAAAAAAAGTCTTCTGGTGTTAATCCAGCCCTACAATAATAAATGAATGTATTTAGTCCAGTGTGCATAAGGGAAACCTATAACATGAACCCAGCATATCCATGTCCATGCATATACATGAACTAGAGGGTCCATGGATTCCAATTACAAGATGATTAGGACAATCCAGTGACAAGCAGCTTTGGGATTATAACAAACATCAAATGGGGAAAACCATTACTTGAATAGTTTTACTGATCTGTTCAGTTAATAAGCCAAGGTAAAAATCATGGAAGGGATCCTCAAGGAATCCATTTTGAGGCACTTGGAAGAGAGGAAAGTGATCAGGAATAGTCAGCATGGATTCACCAAGGGCAAGTCGTGCCTGACCAATCTGATTAGCTTCTATGATGAGGTAAATGGCTCGGTGGACGTGGGAAAGTCAGTGGATGTGATATACCTTGACTTCAGCAAGGCTTTTGATACGGTCTCCCACAATATTCTTGCCAGCAAGTACAGGCAGTCCCCAGGTTACGTACAAGATAGGGACTGTAGGTTTGTTCTTAAGCTGAATCTGTATGTAAGTCGGAACTGGCATCCAGATTCAGCCGTTGCTGAAACTGATCAGTTTCAACAGTGGCTGAATCTGGACGCCAGTTCCGACTTACATACAGATTCAACTTAAGAACCCCAGGCATCCCCAAGTCAGCTTTGCCTCTGTATTCACGGACAAGGTCGGCTCCTGGACTTCTGTGCTAAGCGACGCAAGATGGGAAGAAGATGGACAGCCCTTGGTGGGTAAAGAACAGGTTAGGAACTATTTAGAAAAACTAAACGTACACAAATCCATGGGTCCAGACTTAATGCACCCAAGGGTACTGAAGGAGTTGGCAAATGTCATTGAGGAGCCTTTGGCCATTATCTTTGAAAAGTCGTGGAGATCGGGCGAAATCCCGGATGATTGGAAAAAGGCAAATGTAGTGCCCATCTTCAAAAAAGGGAAGAAGGACGATCCAGGGAACTATAGGCCGGTCAGTCTTACCTCGGTTCCTGGAAAAATCATGGAAGGGATCCTAAAGGAATCCATTTTGAGACACTTGAATGAGAGGAAAGTGATCAGGAATAGTCAGCATGGATTCACAAAGGGCAAGTCGTGCTTGACCAATCTGATTAGCTTCTATGATGAGGTAACTGGCTCAGTGGACATGGGAAAGTCAGTGGATGTTATATACCTTGACTTTAGCAAGGCTTTTGATACGGTCTCCCACAATATTCTTGCCAGCAAGTTAAGGGAATGCGGATTGGATAAATGGACGGTAAGATGGATAGAAAGATGGCTAGAAGGCCGGGCCCAGCGGGTAGTGATCAACGGTTCGATGTCAGGATGGAGGTCGGTTTCTAGTGGAGTGCCCCAAGGTTCGGTTCTAGGACCGGTTTTGTTCAATATCTTTATTAATGACCTGGATGAGGGGATAGATTGCACCCTCAGCAAGTTTGCAGATGACACTAAGCTAGGGGGAGAGGTAGATACGCTTAAGGGCAGAGATAGGGTCCAGAGTGACTTAGACAAATTGGAGGATTGGGCCACTAGAAATCTCATGAGATTCAACAAAGACAAGTGTAGAGTCCTGCACTTGGGACGGAAGAATCCCAAGCATAGTTACAGGCTGGGGACCAACCAGTTAAGTAGTAGTTCTGCAGAAAAGGACCTGGGGGTTACAGTGGATGAGAAGCTAGATATGAGTCAACAGTGTGCCCTTGTAGCCAAGAAGGCTAATGGCATATTAGGATGCATTAAGAGGAGCATTGCCAGCAGATCCAGAGATGTCATTATTCCCCTTTATTCGGCTTTGGTGAGGCCACATCTGGAGTATTGTGTCCAGTTCTGGGCCCCCCACTACAAAAAGGATGCGGACGCATTGGAGAGGGTCCAGCGGAGGGCAACCAAAATGATTAGGGGGCTGGAGCATATGACTTATGAGGAGAGGCTGAGGGACTTGGGTCTGTTTAGTCTGCAGAAGCGAAGAGTGAGGGGGGATTTGATAGCAGCCTTCAACTTCCTGAAGGGAGGTTCCAAAGAGGATGGAGAGAGGCTGTTCTCAGTAGTGACAGATGGCAGAACAAGGAGCAATGGTCTCAAGTTGTGGTGGGAGAGGTCCAGGTTGGATATTAGGAAAAACTATTTCCCTAGGAGGGTGGTGAAGCACTGGGATGGGTTACCTAGGGAGGGGGTGGAATCTCCATCCCTAGAGGTGTTTAAGTGTCTGCTTGACAAAGCCCTGGCCGGGTCGATTTAGTTGGGTTGGTCCTGCCTTGGGCAGGGGGCTGGACTTGATGACCTTCGGAGGTCTCTTCCAGCTCTAGGATTCTATCTCCTGTAAATATGACTGCATCCACCCTTCACAGCAAGGGATCTTGTAGAAATTCTTCCCGTTTAGAATGAAACTGTTTGCACTAGCATCACATGTTCATCTCTGCTAAAACTTCTGGTTGTGGTGACAGTTCTGAGCACACTTATGTGCAATGGCTATTTCGGGAGGACTGGTTTAGTAATTCTGATTCCTCCTCTTCTCTGCGCCTTGTCTTGTCTTATATCAGTTTTGGAGTGTGATGTAAGATATTGACTGTCTTAAGGACTTACTTGCGTATATAGTCTTGGTTTTCCTCAAGTTTCCCTTAGATGGCTCCTGTTCACTGTTTTGTTTAACTCTATGATGATTAGGGCATTGGCAGAGGAGTGGTCTAGGTGACTTAATACAGTGCTTATCCCTAATCATCTGGGTGGAGCCTGACCTATGGAAACTTGTTCTGTATTTGTCCTTGATATGCCTCAGCATTGGCATGCCAGGGAGAAGTGAACAAAAGTTCAGACTTTCTAAAGGACTTCTGCATCCCCCCTTTTAAGAATGTGTGACATAATGGCTTGTCTTTCAGAACATGCTATCTTTAGAGAAGCTAAAGTCAGGATACGTGATGGGTCTTCTCCAAAATATCTGAAGCATTTCCTGTGTTTACATACCCACCACGGTGTTGTTACCTCTTTAAATGTTGTTTCTTTTATGCAGGCATCGTTCACTCCAGTAAAGGCAGGAGAAAATAAAGATGAGGAAAAACCAAAGCCAAAGGATCGAATTACATCCTGCCTCCTGGAGAACTGGAGTAAAGGAGAAGGACTTGGCTATGAGGGAATTGGTTTGGGCATTGGGTTACGAGGGGCCATCCGGCTGCCATCTTTCAAGGTATGAGTTAGAAAACAAGAACAGTCTTCCTTGACTGAGCATTTAGAGTATAGATGCTGTCTTCCTTTTACCATGCAGATCCCTAGAAGCTGGGACACACCGTGACACTAACTTTTCTACCACGTTTCTTGTCCAGCAACCCCCTCGCTTTTAACATCAGCTGTAATCTTAGGAGAGGGGAATTCCTACTGCTTAATGTCAGTTTCTCCTCACCTTTTCATGCCACTTGTGTGAATCTGATTGAGAGTCGCTCTGTGGCAGTGGTGACCTGTATTAGAAAATAAAGTTTCAGCACTGTAGGAAAAAGCAGTTTCTGCTGGGCTGGGTTATACACAGTCACCAGTCAACACGGAAGAAATGGTGCAGTTTTAAACAATGTTAGCTCAAGAGCAGGATGTGGCATGCGTGTTGAGAATACAATTCTACTTACTTTGGTAGATTCACCCATTGACACCAGAGTGGAATTTGGTCCTGTGTCCCTGTAATAGTTCTGTCAGTGGGAGGCCACACTGAGTCCATACAAACAGCTGAAGTTTGGGGCCTCAGGCCTGACTGCAGGCCAGGTAGCAGTCTATGAGCCCTGACCCAGGGTCAGGGTGGGGCAACAAACACACAGTTTAAACAGTATATGTACAAGTTGGGCAACAGTTTGAGTCCAGGCTCTTGATCAGGGTGGGGCAACAAACAGTCCGTTCCCCTGCTTTAAGGCCTGCCTGACTGCAGACCAACCCACAGTTTGGAAGGTCAGGGCAGGCCAGCAGTCTATACACAAACAGTCCAGAAACAGTTAAACAATCCAAATAGTTCAAAGCCCAGGCCTCTACAGGCTGAGCCAGGGGTTGGGTCTCCTTGCTGGCAGAGAGCCGACAAGCACAAGGGTTTCTCTCCCTACAGCGGGAACCTGCTACCCAAGGGAAGCAGTAGGGTTGCCAGATGGTCTCCCAAAAAATACCAGACACATGGTATTTTTTGGTCACACAAAAAATAAAATAAAATAAAAAATGACTAGAGCTACAGCTGCCCCGGAGTCAGCTGTCACTGGGCCACTTCCCTGTTCTCCCTGGGGGCCTACCTGGCTCAGGTGCTGCTCCTCAGGGTCAGCTGGGGATGGAGGTGCTGGCAGCATGTTGATAAGCTCCAGGTCCTGCTCGGGTAAGGGTCCAGGCGATCCAGCTCAGTCGTCTGTGCAGCCAGAGTGAGTGAAATCAAGTTGGTTAGCTTATTAGATTCTTAATTCCTATCTTATGCTGGAAGAAAGAACAATGAGAGCACTAGAATGGAGTATACCTACATTCCTGAAGATTGAAACTGTAAGTTTACTTTGATGTTCTGTAGTTGTGGTGGGTGAACTTTGATACCTGGAAGGTTTTGCTGCCTCTCTTTGAGTTTGCCATATTGGATTGGTGTCTTCCAGTCCTAATTTAAAGCTAACCTTGCTTTGCAGTTTCTTTAGCAGTCTCAGGCTTGATATACACTACCAACTTATGTTGATATATCTACATCACTCAGGGGAGTGGAAAATGCACCCCCCTGAGCGTCAGACTTGTATCGACCTAACCCCCAGTGTGGACAGTGCAACACTGATAGGAAAGCTTCTCCTGTCAACAGAGCTGCTGCCCCTCAGGGTGGTGGCATACCTACACTGACAGGAGTGTCAATCACCTAGCTACTGCCCATCACAGAGATGGATTTATTATGCTGACTGGTGAGCACTCTCTCACTGACATGGAGTGTCTTCACCAGATGTGCTACAGCAATGCAGCTATAGTGGTGTAGCTGCACCGCTGTAGTGTCTCTAGTGCAGACCTGTCCTTAGTTACTCTAGCAAAGCAGAGCAGCTGGGATCTGCTTCAGAAATTGGTTTCTTCAGATTCTACCAAACCTTTTTAAGAAATTCTAATTCTGTTCTTTGTTCAGGTGAAGAGAAAGGAACCTCCTGAAGCTGCTTCTGCAGGAGATCAGAAGAGAATCAGGCCCTCTACCTCTGTTGATGATGAAGATGAAGGTTTGCAATCCACATTTAATTGATACACAAGTGTGAATGCAAACCATACAAAAATTGAATTCCTTTAACCTTCTCAGCAGCACGTTCACTCCCAGCTAAGCACACAGTCAAGAATTTGAGCCAAAATTCAACCTACCTTAAGACTGATCAGCTGAGTGATATCTGCCATGGATTATTGCTCCCTTAAATTTACTCTGACTAGGAAACGTAAAACCCACAGTTCTGCTGCCAGCGGAGAGAACTCAGATTAGGTTAGCAACCACATTCCAGAGCTGTGAATCTTACCAGTATTAAGGCCATTATGGAAGTAAGTAAAGGAAAGCCAATTTGACTTGGATTTCATTTTTTAAAAAAAGTAGTAAGTAATTTGTTAAATGGAGGAAAGTCTATTTTAAATTATTTTAACCTTTTAAACATTAACATTTTAAACAGTGCAGGATAAAAAATAAGATTATAAATAAATGTTAGTTGAGGATCTCTTTAAGACTAATGTGCAGTTTACTATCCCATATAAACTTGATCCTTGATCCCAACTGCTGCTCATACAGCCAAAGTACAGAAGGAAGAGGGTTTATAAACCAAGCTTATTTAAAGAGTTCTAAACATGTAAGGACCAGAAAGTACTTTAGATGTGATTGTGAGGACAAATGCTTAGTTTCAATAAACAAAAAGTTCCATCACATAATCTAATGTTTAAACCAAACTCCCAGTTCCTAATGTATTCATACCAGTTAGTGTGTGATTGAGGCTGGAGGGGCACAGGAAGGACTCCTTCAAAATATTAATCCTATATGATTAGTGAAGCAACACGCAGTATAAATGCTGCCCCATATACCAGATACATAAATGGCCAGTGCTCAAGTGCAACACGGTCCTTCAAGCACCATTGAGATTGCAGCCAGCAGCTAAAAGGCTAAATGTTTTGAGGCTCTCCAAGTCCCAGGAAGTTTGCATAATATATTGGAAAGGCCATGAAAGAGTCCCTGCCAAGGGGAAGCTTCTTGTGAATTTTGGTGGCTTTGGGCCCCTTTGGTCATGTAACCCTTGTGAATAAAAAAATCCCACCTACTGTATTTAACATACAGCTCAGGGAGAGGAGATGTCAAAATTGTGGGCTTCCTTCAGGGTTTTGTTTGATGGATGGTACTCGTCTTCCATGCCTTTCCTGTTGCTGTCCTGGCCATCACCCTTTTCCCCCACTACACCTTCCCCACTGGACGTGATCTTGGCTTTGGTTATTACCTCATGCTGATGACACTCAGGTCTACTTCTCTTCTCTGACCTGCCTCACTCACTTCATCCCTGTCTCTCACTTTGTCTGGCTGACGTCTCCTCATGGGTATCTAATGGAGCCAAAACTGTTGCTTCCACCTCTAAACTTAACCCATAGACTCTCAACAGGCTTTTCTCCCTTTATATACTGGATCTTCGAGCAATCTTACATCCAATGCAACTCCTCCTCCTTTTCTCCCCCGCCTGTTCTTCCTCAACAGTTTATGCCCTTCCATGACAGTGCTCCAGTCATGTGAGTCATCCCACCAAATCTCCGTTACTCCAGTCAAACCATAGTTCTGTGACTGGGCCAGGGCTTCTAATTCTTCCTGTTGGTTTCCCAGGCTTCTTGCATTTGTGTACAAACACCGTAGATAACCAGTTGATTTCCCTACCTTCTTCATTTGAGTCAGGGGTCCTCCTTTGTTGCTCGTTCCTCCTTGTGTTTCTTCCTGGTATCCGACTTCCTCACTTAGCTCAGGGCTTTGGTCACCATCCCCCAACGAACCTAGTTTAAAGCCCTCCTCACTAGGTTTGCAAGCCTGCCCATGAAGATGCTCTTTCCTCTCTTGGGCTGTGTCCAGACTCCATGCCTCCGTCGACGGAGGCATGTAGATTAGCCAGA